ATCCATCCAGCCAACCATCTACTTCAACACCAACCGTGGTTCCCAACTTGCCCACGGACATTGACTTCCCAGGCCTTACTTCTGGGATCAGACAGGAGATCAAGGCCTCAGTGGCGCGTTTGCACCTCAACATGGGACATCCATCACGCGAGGAGCTTTGCAGACTCCTTGCCTATGAGGGTCATGTTCCAGATGAAGTATATGAATGCGCAAGAAAGTTCAGATGCGCAACTTGCCAGCGTTTGAAACCTCCTCAAGCACCAAGACCATCAACAACTCCGAAGTTATTGAACGGCCAGTTCAATGATGAGGTCCAGGGTGACATCTTCTACTGCAGAACCTTGGATGCCACAACGTTTATGGTTGTGGGCTTTGCTGACAAAGCCACCGGGTTTCATCAAGCCCTCGTGCTTCCTGACAGGCACGCCAACACTGTGTTTGAAGCCTTTGAGCAACTTTGGCTTCGACCCTATGGCATCCCTTTGAAGGTCATGACAGACCCTGACCCCTCCTTCCGTGGTCACTTCCAGGAGCGACTTCAGGCACTTGGATGTTTACTGGAGTTTTGCCCTGCGGAGAGCCACTTTGTCATTGGCATGATTGAGCGGAGAAACAGTTTGCTGAGAACCATTTTGGAAAAGCTGATAGACACCTTTGGCATCAACCAGGTGGACCAGTGCTCAACTGCACTCGTGGCAGCCTGCCATGCCATCAACTCAGGAATCCACACCCATGGACGGTCAGCCTACCAGGCCGTTTTTGGGAAGCAGCCAAGGTTGATCGACAGCAACTTCAGCAATCCTATGGTTTTGGCTTCTTCATCACTGATTGCTCAGCTTCAGGATTCAGATGCTGGACTTCGAGCTGAGGTGGTTAGAGCCGAGGCCGCCAAGATCATCCAAGACCTTGATGTTTCTCAACACCTTCGACGTGCCTTGCTGAGAAGGACAAGGGCAACCAAAATCCCAGACCTGATGCCAGGTCAACCTTGCGCCTTCTGGCGCTGGGCCCGCAGAGGCCAGAAGAAGCGGGGCACTTGGGTGATTGCAAGGTTCCTATCTTGGGACCCAAGTCATCCAGGAAAACAAGCCTGGGTGAAGACTGGAGCGACTTCAATCTTGGTGACCGCCGAGCAGCTGCGTGCGGCATTTGGTTTTGAGCAGTGGACCCCTGAAGAAGCTGACATCCGAGCACTTCGTGATGCCTCTCAGAAGTTCAGCGACCATCTCTTGAGGGATGAGCAGGGTCCACCACCACCAGACAACCTGATAGTCGATGACGACACCATTGACACCAATGCCAACCTCGACATCAATGCCGAGCTGAACGAGCCCTTGGCATTAACAGTGCCATCACTACCACAACAGTCACAAGCAATTCAACCTATGTCACCACAACCACAACTTGAAATACCACATCTACAGCCGACAACCATGCAACAAACCAGCATACAAGCACACCATCAACAACAACAACACAACACGACCATCAACCTGCACACCAGCCCAGAGCGAGTCACCAACCAGCTCATCCAGCAACAGCAGTTTCACCGATATGGACATGTGCCAGGAACACCAGTCTCACGAAGACGTTCCCGCACACCAACAAGCAGACGCCTAACACAGGCGCCTCAACAAACACCCACCACGGCAGTTTCACCACAGGAAGCCACTTTGGACTTCCCACCTGATGCACAACCAAGCCAGCGGCATGCATTAGCAGACCCATATCAAGAACTACCTGCACAACCTGGCAGCACAGAGCATCAGCACACACCGGCATCGCAGGCAAGAGGATCCAATGCAACAGGATCCAACACACGGCAGCAGGCAACAGAACACCCTACTTCAGCACTACCAGATGGCTTCATACCACAAACACCACCGATCACAGCAGATGATCAAGCCATCAGCGTCTCCTCAGGGAGATCAACACCTCCACTACAACTACCACAATCTCGACAAGTAACACCACCTACAACATCAACTACACATAGACCTTCTCCAGAACCACAACAGACGATCACTACTACGTCCACCCCACTAAGAACAGAAACACCACAACCAATGCGAGATGGACCATTGCCAACACTACCTCAAAAACGGGACTTTGAGTCCATGATGACAACATTGGTCCAAGATGAGCAAGGCGTGATCCACCGTGATCCAACCCACGTCCACGCACAGCCGTGCTATGGACCAGCCTCAAGGGTTTTTCAACAGGCCTATTGGGCCACAAGCCAACGCCGTGAAGACCTGCGCAACGCCCCTGGTAAATCACCTGATGAATCAGACACCACGGCAGATGAATCAGACGACGACAACAATACAGCACATGAGGGCCAGCAACAAGAGCCCGACGAACAACCAGCCCTTCAGCAACAAGCATTCGGCAAGCAGACATACAACAAGCAGCTTGACAGACAAGATGCCAAGAACAAACAGGCACTGCAGCAGAAGCTACACAGCAAGATACAAAGCATGAAGCATCAAAGACAAACACAGAGAGCACAAGACATGGCAATTCACAAGCAAGGCCTCTCTCGGCAAGAACAGAAGGCACTGGATCGTGAGATTCCATGGAGGACAATCTTAGCAATGCCTCCAGCCTACGTTGACAAGTTCTTGGCCGCGATCTCCAAAGAGGCCAACTCATGGCTTGAATGGAACTCAGTAGAACCTCTTTCACCAGAAGAAGCTCAGAAGGTTCTGAAGGACCCCTTGCTTTCCAAAAGAATTCTGCCGTCACGAGCGTGCTATCGTGACAAAGCCTGCGGCATTGGAGAAGTTCAGCCGAAGTGTCGCATAGTGGCGCTTGGACACCTTGATCCAGACCTAGCAACTTTGAACCGCAATGCTGGAACTCCAAGCCGTTGCACTGAGCAGATCATGTATGCCATGCTTGTCGCAGGTTTGAACTGCGAACTCTTTGATACCACTCTTTCATGAATAGCTTGGACTGGAGATGCCTCTACGGCTTTTCTGCAAGGACAAAATGCTGATCGCACTATGCCACTTTTTCTACGACCTCCTCAAGATGGACTGATCTCTATGACGCAGCACTGGTCAGCTCCACTCTATCGAGTTCGTGGCAACGTGTATGGCTTAGCAGATGCACCAGTCACTTGGAGCAAAGAAGTTTGCCGCCGACTGCAGAGCCTGGGCTTCACACAACATGACTTCGACAGGCAGCTGTACCTTCTGCGAAAGGACGGCCAAATCATAGCTGCCATCATTGTTTATGTTGATGATTTCCTTGGCATAAGTAGGTCTGACCATGACCTTAGTTCAGTTCATGGTTTGTTCAAATGGGGAGCTCTGAATTACTTCCAAGAAAATAAGCCAATAACCTTCAAGGGAAAGGAACTGACCCTGAAGCGCAATGAGCACCAGCGCTTCTATCTGCACATCACCTTGAAGAAGTTTCTGGAAGGCATCGAGTTTGGCGCCATTGCCAAAGGTCAATTGCAAGGTTCGCCTGAGCTTTCATTGGACGAGCGCAAGGAACTGAGAAGCATTTGCGGATGTTTGCAATGGGCCGCATCCCAGGCCCGACCTGAGATTGCTGCGACGGTCAGCCTGTCTGGCCATGGCAAAGAGGCAAAGATCACAGACTTGAAACAGCTGCATGCCACTCTCAAGTATGTCAAAGAGACCCCGCAGTATGGAATCAACATCATGGATGTACCATTCACCCGTGATTCTGTAGTGCTGGGATATAGTGACAGCAGCTGGGCGAATGCGCGAAAGTCTGGCAGCCAGATCGGAGTTTTGGTGGGCCTGACGACTCCATCCGTCAAGACCACAATGGCACCATTTACTTTGCTGGATTGGCGCTCAGCTCGTTCACCGCGAGTCTGCCGATCAACTTTGGCTGCTGAGGCGACCGCTGCTGATGAGTGCGCTGACCGCTTAGCCTATGTGAATTTGTTCATAAGTGAACTGATGTATAACCAAGCAGCTCACCGAGTAGGTAGTAGGTTAGCCACCCTCCAAGCTGTAGATGCCAAGTCGTTGTTTGATGCAATCATGAGTGAGAACCCATCACTCAATGATAAGCGAACCCTGGTGAGCATCAGGGCAATTCAGGAAACAATTTCGAGTAAAGAAATTCGATGGGTCCCAACACGTTTTCAATTTGGTGACGGCTTGACGAAGACAGATGACAAGCTTCTGGAAGCTTTCAGGCGATGGCTCAATATGCCACTTGCCGTTTTGACCGAGTCACCAGAAAACCAGCCATATGAGGAATACCTTTTTCCCCAAGGTGCAAAAAAGAAAAACACCAGTGAAAATGTCATGCAATCCATGTCAACCAGCTGATACCGTTTGCACCTTGTGGCTTGGCTTAAGGGGCCCTGAGAGCGTTGTTACCTTTTCGCATTGTGACCGATGGATGGGTGAAACATTGCAGCATTGAGTCCGTGCATTTGCCATTGCACTTTGTGTGTTTCATCTGACTTCGATTAGAATTATAGTTATATATAATTATATATACCCACGGCTTCACAAGACGGTTTAAAAAACAGTCTTTGTGACAAAGACGGTTTTTTGGCTAAACCACGCTGGACCACGCTGGAACCTAGTCAGGAGCATGTGATTCCCAAGATGCCAGCACAATGATACGCACGGTCACTTTTGTCATGCGGGGCATTCTCAAAGCAGTGATATCACCTCCTCATACGCGCAGAGATGTTGAGCCTAAGATGCTCTATAGGGATTTGAGGGAAACAGCCGATAGACTCTGTTTTGTTTGCATCATAGTGCCAAAGTCAGCTTGAAATGCAGACAAGTAACCTGTAAGTTGCAAGGTATATATATATATAATTATATGTTTATGTTTATTTAGTGATACTGTAAATGAGAACTTGTTACTAGACTATCTATACCAATTCAAGCAAGAGAGATCAGGGGTTGACATTATAGAATTCACCCAAGCGCTTGGGCGTTTTGTTGAGAGATGTCCTAGCTTGGGATGATCAACGGTGCCGTCCAGCGCAGGAGCTGCGGGAGTTTTGGGGCAACAAAAGCTCCAAAGGCTTTGCAGGTCCTGGACTCGCTGGATCCAGGCAGAAAAAAATCCACTGTCGGGATGTCATAGAAATGCCAAGTGACGCTATGGTGACTTGGCAATCCGATATGGTTCATACCATCCATAAAAAAAATATTATAGAAACATATGTAATAATGGTGATTTTGGGTGGATGGTTCATTATTGGGTTTACCACATTATGACAAATTTTGACGCATCAACCACCGTAAAAAAACGGGTGAACTTGGAAGATAAGAATAGCATGGGAAAACATGAGCAGCTATTATATTGTGATAAGATTGAGATGGATTTGCGCTTGCGCAGATGGACAGTCATCATCGCTGCTGACCCGTGATGCTGCACCCCTGGGCACCCCACGCATGAACACACTAATCAGGACAAACTCAAGAACCTACAAACATTGGTCCCCAAGTGTGGAGACAACCTGTTTGTCCCTGCAAGGCTGTCAAAAGTGGAAGCCCAGGCTACCCTTCAGAGGCTTCTTATTGCAGGTGGCTGCAGATGTGCTGAGCATTCTTGCCGCGAGGATTTTCCCAATTTCCCTCCTTGCCCTGACATAAAACACACCTCTCGTGAAGCCTGAGTGGATCTGGCCATTTTGTGGATTCCCATATGGTTTTGTCCAAAGATGCTTAGAATCCATTGGTTAATTTTTCCAAATCGTTATTTTTTAAGCGGTCATGGGGCAAAATCCTCCAGCCCTTCCGATACCAATTATCCTCTTGTTTGGAAACACGCCCAGCAATGGAACATCTCCATTTCCAATAGGCAACCAACAAATGGCGGACTTTCCATCTATTTCAAGTTTGATTCAAGTGAAATTGTGGTGACGAAACATTTTGAATCCATGGCTTGCCGTAGATTTTCCATGATTTTCCCATGTTTTTCCATTCAACATCTCCACGGCTTCGACAAGAAAAAGCATGGGAACCCACCAATCCCATCGTCGCGGAGGTGGCGACCTTGACGAAGTACGACGGCTACGGAAGATCATCGCGGAGCTAGAAGCAGCATGAGGTCAGGGATCCTCCCATGAAACCTCCCATGGGGTCCAAGAAAAACCCATTGGGCAATCCATAGGCCTGGATCATCCTGGATCATCCTGGATCATGGGGATGATTAAGATGGATTAGGTCCGATTGATGATGTATAGCAGCGTAGATAAAATCGATGGTCGATGGAACGTGATGTTCAACTGGTGGTAATTTAGGAATTTCATAAGTGTTGTTTTATATTGTGTTTGTGAAGATTTTCGGAACACCCCCAAACCGCACGATTGAGAACATCATTTGACGCCTACAATTTCATTGTATCCCTTATCTTTGGGCGAACCCATATGATGGGTAATCTCCAAAATCGATTCAGATGATTTTAGATGGTTAGTGTCTTAAACTGAACCCGTAAATCCAATGTTGACTGACCGATGCCCACTCTTGAGGTGCTCATGCAGCCTATGACAAATTGCACAATGACCTTACTCTTTCTGAAAGATCCAGGAAGCATTTGCAGAGGCTACTTTGGTCACTCTAATGAAGTATATATAAGCATGGATAAGCACAGCATATCTATTGATCGCATCTCACTGTGAATCCATTATATTTGACCACTTTTAAAGCTTGTGGCCCCCATTGTCTTACTGCGGCATATCGCCGACATGAGCTGCGGCAAGTGGGGCAGACTAGACCATCAAGCCTCTGCCATCGACTGATGTTTTCCAAGCGTCCTGCAGCAGTCGGCTGCACCTTTGGCGGTGCAGAAGCAGCTGGTAGAGGGCATGCAGCTTTCGGAGTGTATATGCCACATAACAATGTAGAGGCACACATAGGCACACCATTTCTGGCTTGTAGCCCAGTATAGACATATATGTGCAGATGGGCGAAAAAAGGATGCCTGGGCAGATGTGGTTGACAGATAGGTAGACAGGTAAATAGATAGAAAAGGAGATAGATATAGTAAGAAATGTATCAGTATGTACAGGTACAGCAAAACTGGATAGATACAGAGGATATGACGAAGATGTTTCTTCGACCGCAAAGACAAGACTGGTAGGATGCATAAAATAGAAATACAAGATGAGGACATCTTATTACCGACGACTTTTCCAATGCGACGAATTCAGCGATATGGTATCCCTTACAAGGCGGAGATACGTGGGTTTGAGATACCCAGTGATGGAATGTAGCTGCTCCAACGCCCGAGAGCGGCATGCCCAGAAATAGGCCTTTTGCAAATAGCGGCTGGGGCCCAAAACCGTGAAACCTGGTCGTGGAATTCAGTGACTGACGGAGCACTTGGGCTTGGCGTGTCGCGATGTGGCCTAAAGGTTCAGCTGCTGCCCGAAATTTCTGGTGGCGTCATTGGAGTTGCGCCTTTCTAAGCATGATTTTTCATGGATTTTCCAGACATTGTTATCTTGACCTTTAACGCAAATGAGGGCAGCAAGAGTCGCCACTGAGACTAAGTGTCACACCTTTCGCAAAGAGGTAGCCATAGCTTTTCCTTCAACTTGGCAGAAGCTGGGAATCAGTGAAAATGCGCAGAGAGAGACATGCAGAACCCCCACAAAGTAGTTGATTCTTGCACGAGTAATGAATTGGTTTGCTTTGTTTCTCTTGGTTGGTTTATTTGTTTTGCCTCCTATTTTGGTTTGGTCGTGGCATAGTTCGCAACATAAGCAGTTGGCAGTTCAATATTCGCATGTTTTTGTGATTCATTTCGCTAGCTTTACTGAGAGTATACCAAGTGTAATCGTAGGAATTGCCGGATGTCACTATGTCACTTTCTGTTCCTCGGTGTATCGACGATGTGCAAAGTCTTGATGCACCAGGGGGTCAACGTCGTAGAATGGCAGGATTTGCAACCTGAGCGACTGATGTAGTCTTCCCCAGATGCCTTTAGCGGGCCAGCCTGCAGGGAAACACCTTCGCCGTGAACTCTGGACCAGCCTGGGTAGGGATCCTAGTGGTCCAGTTCATTTGTGGAACCTCCGGCCCCGTTCGTGTTCAGTTATATAGTTGACCCTCCCGTTTTTTTTGGCATGGTGGTACCATGCCGATATTCTCATGGTACCGGTATACTTGAAACACCCTGGCAGTGTCACCCTAATTTGCGCTGGACGTGGGCACACTTTCAACAAGTATCCAGAAATATCCAAAATGGATCAACATGATTCAGCATGGGTAAACAGGGAAAACACCCCCATAAATGCCCGGAAACATCCATGAAGCCATAAACTATTTTGGATATTGGTTCATTGGATAATCATGACCACACCAAAATCAAACGACCATTCGCTTGAACCAGGTGGGCTGGCAACAGCACCAAGCAGCTGAGAAGAAGAGGCATTCCAAGTGCAGATGAGACTTGTATCTTTCGGATCATCAGCCAAAATGACAATGGGATTAGCGATTTTTGATGGGAAAATCACGGAAAAATTCTGTAGAAATCGCAGGAGAATTGTGGCATGACCAGTCTGGCCAAAGAAGAAATCACTTTTCTTCTCTGCCCATCTTTAAAAGGCAAGAGAAAGCGCAACAGGAAGCTGCGGCAAAAGAACCAGAAGGATCAGGAGTGCGTGGGCTGCATGGGGGTATACCGGTATCAATCCGGTATCGGTATACCTTTCCAAATTTGTTCCAGTTTTGTCAGGAAAATCATGAAAATCCACCGGATTTGGGGGTGCCACTGTAGTTTCAAGACCCCTAAAGTTCAAGTAGGGGCTGCCCCCTGCCATCAAGGTGATGGTGCGTCAATCCGCGTACACGTGCACATAGACATGCATTGTTCATATACGCACATGACTCACATGACTATATACATTGATAATCATTGATATATATATATATACATTATGCACGTGTAACTCAGTGTAACTGTGAGAGAGAACTTGAATGAACTTGACTTTTCCTTGGCAGATCAAAATCTTTATGCATTTTTCAGATCGTTCATATGAGCCCACTCAGGTCACTAAGGAGGGACCTTCATGGGATGGTCAGTTGCCACTGTGGGAACGTGACATAAATTGATACTTCCATACGTGTGATAGTGCAATGCGTAGGTAGTTGCCTAACATATCTAACATTTATGTGTGTATCTGTATCTGTATATATGTATGTTCAGTCCTGACCCTTTTACATCCTTTTACCACGTTGAGGCGTGTTGTATGTGTGTTGATGTCCCAGGACCATGGACGCCGAGTCCCGGTTATCCGTTCCGGCCAATGGGCAACAGCACTTCAGGAGTGAATCCTCAGACACTTGGCGCTGATCGCTCCCCTCACAGCATTTGTTTCCCAAAATAAATTAAATCATGCAAGAGAAACCAGTGGCTGGGGTGTCCCCAGTGTTTGGACACACACACACACAGGCACATTCTGTGGGTAGCCTGAAGTTGCAAGTTCTGTGGATATATGCCTCGCCTTTTTAGTGTTGTGCTAGGATTTGCCAACCATATCCATTGCCAAAGCAAGCATAGTTCTCAGGTTTAGCCGCTTCGGGCATTTAGGCCTGGCCGATTTGGAGTCCGTTGCGTAGCCATTCGCTGCCGGAAGCCAGCGTGCTTGGCAATTCATTTCGCAGGTGGAAAGTGACTGGACCATGCTGGACCTGAGCTTCACCTGGCTGCCAGTAGTTTTAATCCATTTTAGGTCTTCTGCGTAGGGGGCGATGAGATGCACCCGCCCGACAAAAGGCGTTGCCGCTGATGTTGGCCTTGCCGTGCTTTTTGCATTGTTGGGGTGCGGAAGGTGCGGGAGAGCATGGTTTTTTGTGCATCTTGCCATCGGCCAAAGGATGACAAGATATGACAGCAAACATGACCAAAGAGGCGCCCACATTTTCAACCGGGAGCGTCCTCGAACAAGCAAAGAAAAATCAGCCGACAGTGATACCCCACACATCATAGCCAAGCGACTCCAACAGTTTCCATCAATATCGGATAACGTTACCGCCAGATATTTCGAAAGAGCACCACGTACTGTACATCAACTGCAGGCACCAGTTATTTTATCATTTTTATCATGTAACCTGCCACGGTGTTGCTCCGCTGGCAGAATCTTTTCTCGCTTTGTGCCTACCTTATTCCCTTTCTGATGCTGTTTTTTTTTTTTGGGGGGGGGCAACTCTGCAGAATATTTCTTATACCTGTCCACCACTAAGGCTCTTGATGGGCCGTCCCAAGCTCAGCTGCATTTGTGCCTCTCGTGGTATCATGCGTCAAATTCATATGTCCCAACCTGTCCCAACACGTCCCAACCATTTACCCTGAAAAATCCAATGGTTGACAGTGATTCAAATGGGGGAAACAAGGGGAAACATATGGATAATTATGGATACATATGGCACTTGTGGTTTGGGTATCCCATGATTTCCAGTCCCATCCTTTCCATATTTTTAGGACTCACCAAGTCGTAGGTCAGTCACGGGACGTCTACGACGAGGATTTTGAGCCCCAGGCGGCAGCGGGGCAAATGTGACCAAGTGCAGGTGTTGTGGGTAGACCCGTGACAATATTTACATGCAAGAAGGTGTCACATGAAAATGCTACTACTAAAAATGGAACCAATACCTTAATAATAGAAACGCATCAAAAACAACAATATGACTAGTAATGAATGAAAATCATATGACAATCATATGACAATCATCGCCGCCACCACCACCACCACCATGATCATCACCACCATCAGCATGGCCATCATCATCAACTATCCCTGCTACCAGTCCCACCATCATTGTTCAGCACTTGGTGGCGGCGAATTCAGAACTGCAACGCCCAAGCCACGCCAGGCTTGGCAACAAGTCTCCAGGTACCGAGACCATTCCCAGGCATAGGGCGGTGATCCTGGGAACGACGCTGAAGTCCCTAATCCCGTCCCTTTAAAGCCTTTATATGATGATATTGAATGCCCCCAGCTTTAGGTTCTCTCAGGCTTGTGTTCTTTCATGTTCCTTCTTTTTTGATGGATTTACCCCATCCCCCTAATATATCCTAATATTAGATACCATTCAGAAGGGACCCAACATGAATATAGATCCAATACTAGCAGGATTGTTAAAAGATGTTAAAAGCTAGGGGGATGGGATTAACCCATGAAAATCCATTGGAATATGAAAGAACGTAGCCATGCAGACAGTGAAGCTTGAGCAGTGAAGCTGAGGCAGACCTCCGAAATTTATGGAAATTTGACTTCGGACATCTTCGGGTAAAAAGTGGATAGCACTATGTGAGGGTTAGTTTGCTACAAAAGGCAGTGTTACGCATGCCTTCTTTTTTGCTGAAATTGTCACCTTTTTTTGCCGTTTCTTGCTTTTGCCTTCTGCAGGGTAGAGCTTATTCCCGAACACCTTCTAGGGCCCAGACCTCGGAAGTGAGCCGGTGCTACAGCATGGTATGGACATTCTGAGATGCACGGTCAACGAATATACAAGAATACCAGTAGTGCCCAGCCATGCCGGGGTGGAAGTTTAAAAACAAAACGATGATGTATCAGAAATCACTGGCCTACAGGGGATGTCTGTCAGATGTCGAAGCAATGAAAATGGTGGTTGCGAGGTGCATCAATGAATGAACAATGAAATGGCATGAAATTAACGCACGAAAGACTGACTGACTGAATGAATTAAATTAAATTATATTATGACATGAAATGACGTGAAATCACATGAATGAGTGAACGAATGAAATGACATGACATGACAAGAAATGAAATGACATGACATGAAATAGCATGAATGTATGAAATGAAATGAGATGAGATGAGATGAGATGAATGAATGAACGGAAGGGATGAATGAATGATTGTATGAATGAATGAATGAATGAATGAATGAATGCATGAATGCATGAATGCATGAATGCATGAATGCATGAATGCATGAATGCATGAATGAAATGAATGAATGAATGAATGAATGAATGAATGAATGAATTGAATGAATGAATGAATGAATGAATGAATGAATGGATGGAATGAATGATGGAATGAATGAATGAATGAATGAATGAATGAATGAATGAATGAATGAATGAATGAATGAATGAATGAATGAATGAATGAATGAATGAATGAATGAATGAATGAATGAATGAATGATTCAATGAATGAAAGAATTGAATGAATGAATGAATGAATGAATGAATGGAATGAATGAATGAATGAATGAATGAAATGAATGAATGAATGAATGAATGAATGAATGAATGATTCAATGATTCAATGAATGAAAGAATTGAAATTGACTTGAAATGAACTGAAATGAACCGAAATGAAATGAATGAATGGATGAAATGAATGAATGAATGAACGAATGAACAAATGGAACGAATGGAACGAATGAATGAATCTATAAATGAGTGAATGAATGAATTGAAATTGAAATTGAATTGACTTGAAATGAACTGAACTGAACTGAAATGAATGAATGAACGAATGAATTAATGATTACTGCAATGAATAAAGTGAATGAAATGAATGAATGAAATATATAAATGAAGGATTTCTGATTGAATGAATGACTGATCGACTGACTGACTGAATGAATGAATTGAACAAATGAATGAAATGAATGAATGAATGGAATGTAACGGAATGGAGTGGAATGTAACGGAATGGCATGAAATGAAACAAAACCAAATGACATGAAATGAAATGAAATGAATGAATGAATGAATGAACAAACGAATGAATGAACGGACAAACGGCTGAACGAATGAATCAACCCACGAACCAATCAATGAATAAATGAACGAAGGAACCAATGAACGAACTATTTCTTCGTTGAGCTACCGATTCCCTACGCCAAGTTTTCTCCTCGCTGAACACCACTGAGCCACTTCTTTGCTGAACCGGCTCTTCACTGAGCAACCTCCTTGAGATACCTCTTCTCTCAGCTGCCTCTTATCTGGGCTACTTCTTTGACCCGCCTCTGCTCTGACCTCCCTCAGCTACTTCTCTGGGCTAACTTCTGCAACCCAATTCTTCCTTTGGCGCAACCATTACAAAGCGTTAGCGGGGAGAGTTGCAGCATCACGAACACTTTCTGGCCCGCAGCCGTGCCAATGCGTTTCGTCACCTCCAGTTGCAATCCCGCAAGACACGGATGCAGCAACAAATGGACGCCATTTCGGACCTGAAATCGCCGGCGCACAAATCCGGCACTGGTCCAGGCACGTGAAATTCTCACATTTTGAACAAGTCGAACTCTCACCGGAGTCTCCACCACATTTTTCGGACCTCATCTTCCAAAAGTGGTCTCTACCCTTCAGTTCTTTCAACATTTTTTCGTGAAACTGAGCTCTCACTACAGTCTCGTGCGCTTTTTGTTGACAGCTTTGCCAGATCTGCGGAAACACAGACCCTCCCTTGGCGAGCCATCATGCCGAATCATACCTGTAAAAACCTGGTGGTCGCGCACTTCCATTGTTTCACACTTTCACGTGCAAATTCACACACTCCTGGAATGTCGCTCTGATCTACTGCTCCAGCTCCCAACTACTTGATATGATGTGGTTGACATGATGATGTGAAAAGCAGCCATGGCCATTCGTCCGCAAGTCGGAAATGTGCTACTACAGTAAATTTCCTTTGATAAGGCCAAAGATGTTTTATGAATTGATGAGTGTGGCGCATTTTTTGGATGAGTGCCGACAGTCACAATTTTGAGCACAGCTGCGCACCGGAGGCACGAGACAGGGCTGACCGCCATCGAGGCGATGATTCAATCTGATCCCACAACTCCCACTGTTTTTGACTACAACTGACTACGAGTGTTTGATGTTCAACCTGGCTGACGGGGAGAAAAACTAGGACAGACTTTCACAGTTTTTGAGCTAAATGACCAGCCAGAGTCGTTAAATGACCAGAGTCTGACAGGCAGTGATAGGTGAATTAGATTGAATTAGTCTGCACACTGTTCACTCAGTCGTATACGCCACGAGACAATTGGAACTATGACCGCGGATGGCACGACCGTCGAACTGATAGCAGGCACACCTGAGAAATCCTGAGAGTCCAGCACCATTCACCAACACTTTCAATCTATCAAGGGCGGGCTGCGTCAAACATCGTCAAACTGATTCGAAACCTATGACAACATCTTGGGGATGAGCAGCCATAAAGCACGCATAACTCCCAACATCTCCCAACTATATATATATATAATATAGAGATTTTGAATTTTTGATGCAAGAACCATCAGGTGTTACCAGATCCATATAATTAGTCCCATCTCAACCAATCATTATCAGTCATTGACTTGGCGCAGGTCCAGACAGGTCTATGCCGGGGGCTATCAGTCCTGGCGGTCCGACTGGAAGGCTGCCTGGCTACCCCTGATTGCGATTTTTCTTGGGGTTGGGTGCCATTGAACTATATTGAAAGGGACACAGCTTAAAAAAGTATCCAATCAGGGGATTCGTGATCCAGGCTTGACGGTATTTCCCTTGATGCCATTCATCAAAGAGCAGCATCAACCGATTTCTTTGGTGGGCTGTGCGCACGAGCTTAAGCCTTGTTCGCTTGGATTGGCATATCCCAAATGCGCAAAATGTCCGAGAACAGGATGAAAGAGACTGGCACCAGTCTGATAGCCGATCTCGTCCGCCCCAAGCTTAGCTGGCGCTGTTCCGGATTGCATGACTTGGACATCATGTCATTTAATTGGTGTGCGCAGCTTTCTCGAATCATTGAAAAAAACTTGACAGTGAAGCCTGGATTTCGGTCGAGCCTGGTGGCACCTTGCTGCCTGAGCTTGGCCTAGGCAATTGACCTAGATTTGCAACTTAAAATTTGCCGAGTTGTGACGGAACTTCATCTTCCATTCTTTTCTTTGAACGCTTCCATATTCATCATATTCAAAATCAACTTTGCAACATTTTCCGCCGTTCAATATTTGTGCACTCTGACATACTTTGACCGACCCTGCAAGTCTGGAAAGGGGGTCCTGTCTCCACACCGGACTTTCCTCTTTGTTTTTTTGGCTCGGAGCATCTGGCAAAGCCTCACCCGTGAGAGAGGTGCCAGTACCAGCTATACTATCATTGATTATATATTTGATTTATTTGGACAGAATTTCAACTCAAATTGAAACTGGCTAGTAAAGGTGTGTTTGGATGTGTTTGGCACTCATGTATACTAATGTCATTTAACATCATGTGATGCAAGACTTGCCCATGATGTCCCATGATACTGAAGATTGGTTGCTATGTTGCACAGTGGTTTGATCATGTCTTCCACTGGGCACACCCCTTACAGGCACAAAATGGCCGTTGAGGAGGAGAAAGAGAAACCCGCGCTCCATGTGATTACTAAGCCAATCAAAGCAGAACCATGCTGGCAAAAGGATGGGGCTGGAACTGCAGAATAATTGAAAATTGAATCATGATTTGGGTTGGCACGAGCTGGAAAGCTCATTGAGCATCATTGAGCTACTAAAGTCGTGAGGGGCATGAAACGACCTGCAGGAACGGGATTTCTCTCAGTTTGGGTCCCACTGGAGTTGTTGAAGCTCCTTAGTCTGCCCGCTAGCCATTTGCCTAAGGAAAAGTGGAAAGAAAGGAGAGAAAAGCGCAAGCTGAAGAAGCAGGAGGCAAAAGAGGCCGGCTTTCTCTTCGGAAATGTATGAAACTGTTGCATTGGAGTTGACGGTGCCATGACATGTGATGACTATTGGGTAGGGAATCCGTTATCAGGCTGCAAGGGCACAAAGAAGAGAAAAAGGATTGCCCAGCAGCGAGTCAGAAGATGATGGCGAGGCTATCATGGACGATGGGAAGGCAGGATGTCATGGAAGATTGGATGTTGCTTGGGGGACAAAGTGTGAAGGGCCCGGCAGTAGCTTCGTACTGCCAGGACTACCAGCCTCCTGAGCCCGTGAAAGAAGAGCCGGCGAAGAAAGGAAAGAAACGGAAAAAGAAGGCGCGAAGTCCCCAGTTTCTTTGGGATGGGCTTGGACACACTTTACTCCAAAGAGAGTATATATCACATGACATATATAATATACATTAATATACATATATATATATGTATATATATATATAATATTATAGATACATTTATTATACATATATATATATATATGTGTGTGTGTGTCAACTTAGGCACTCTTTCAACAGATGCGGCAAGCCTTGGCTCCGGCAGGGAAAGAACGATGAGGATGAAGCCCCAGCAGAAGCTGACCAAAAGGCTGAAGAACAAGAACCACCTAAGAAAAAAAGTAGCTTGGATGAATTACATTGAACACATACATCTAAAGAACACATTGTACGGGTATATGTATACCTATATATATAAAAGCACGTATGTATGTTATGTTATGTTATGTTATGTTATGTTTATGATATGTTATGTTTATGATATGTTATGTTATGTTATGTTAATGGAATGGTATGGCATGTATGTGTGTGTGCGTTTGTGCTTTATATTTGGAGATAAAGGGAGAGATAGAAAGAGAGAGAGAGAGAGAGAGCGAGGGGCCGTAGCAAAGTTCTTTGATCCTGGTGAAACTCCGTCCCTGGCTGTTGATTCCACCTCAAGGCAAAAAGAAAAAGAAGGCCTCGAAGGCCCAAAATGAAGAACCTGCTCAGTCTGAAGAGAGTGACAATGCAGAAGACGAGGTTGAGGCTGAAAAGCCAAAGGAGAAACCATGAGACCTGGAAAGCGCTGTCCATTTCACATCCCTTAGACTCTCTCACAATCTTAGCGTTTCCCTGTTTAGCATCGAGTCCGGAATGCCAAACATTTCTGCTGGTTCCCAGCTGCCTTTGGTGAGGAGGAAGGTCCATCTGGACAAGAGTTGCATGACATGCAGCTGCTGGGACTTAATCATGGTGAAATCATGATATCGTGGTGGGTATGAGGGGACAGTGTACTTTGTTATACTGAGGCTTTATTATATTTTGCTATCTTAATGGAAATACATCTTTGATCATCTTATATATATATATATAAAAATATACATATATATATCCTTTGGTATCCTGCGCAGTGAAGGGTCCGCATTTCTTTGGGAGATGTTGAACAGTTTACGCTGAGTAAACATTGCGGTGGTTTATGGGTATACCCAGCCAGTCTGAGGGTTTCTTCATGGGCCATCCTTCAAGCCCTGCGCCTCAGGAAATCAATTCATCATGCTGGTTTCTTTAGTGAGAGCCGCTTTGACGCGCTGGAAATCTGCGATCCTTTGAAGAAGGCCCTGACAAAGGGCGAACGACATGCTTGGAATTTGGATGCTTCGGGTTTCCATGTTTGTTTTTGATTAATTGATTCTTGGATATTCCGGTGATTCCTAGTGACCAGTCCTTCTTTCTGACCATGGACATTCAGCCTTGAGAGGCATTGAAAGAAGCCAAGTTCGAGATCATGACAGAAATCCAGGCGAAGTCGATTCCACACCTTCTCAACGGCAAGGATGCCACTCGTCTTGGAACACATGTGCCCAGAAGATCTGATTTTTAGTTCGCTCACCTGCAGCTAGTGGAGCATCTGTAGCTGCTAAAATGCGCAGAGTCTCCGCTTGAAATCTTCTGCAGTTCATGAAAACAGATGGGGCTTCTGGAGCTGGGGGATCCCCAAACCATTTGGTTTCCCAAGTTTGGATGATAACTTGCGGGCCCACCATTTTCAAGAACGCCCCATAATATCCCATGAAACCCAATCATCGGCGAGCCATCCTTGGCCTAAGTCCAAGGTTCTGGCGGCCGCAAAGACCGGCAGTGGGAAGACCTTGGCATTTCTGGTTCCGGCATGCGACTTGTTATACAACGTGAAGTTCCTGCCCAGCACCTTGGCAGGCAAAGGATGGCAAAGGATGGCAATGGCATGGCTTCTCAGGGAAGATGCTAAAGCCATTCAAACATCCAAAGATTATATTTAGATCTAAGCCTAAGCAGTCTAAGCAGGAGGTTGCGATGGATCATTCATGATCAACTTTTGTCTTTAATAACCGGATTAGGCAAGAGCTATATGCCACTGGCTCCCAGATTTTCATATGGGACTTTTTTCTCAGGAAATGGTGCTGGTGTGATCGCCATCTCGCCCACCAGGGAGCTGGCACAGCAGATTTATGATGTCCTTCGAAACATCTCCAAATACATGTCCCAGTCCATCGCAGTGGTGGTGGGTGGCATGAACCGTAAGCCGGAGGCCGAGAAGCTGTCCAAGGGGATCAACATTTTGGTGGCAACACCTGGACGGCTTTTGGATCACATGCAGAATACCAAGGGATTTATCTATCACAACTTGGTGAATTTGACCATCGACGAGGCAGATCGTATTTTGGAAGTGGGCTTTGAAGAGGAGACTTGGAGCTGTTGAGTCGATGATTTTGTATTTTGCCACTGGGTGATGCACCATGTGGGAACTAGTTCAGACTAGTACAGTATCCCTACTACAGTGGTTTGGAGGGTTATGGCTCAGGAGGGTTGAAACTTAAGACACAACAGAACACACATGCCGCCATCCAGTGGTTCAAGAAGGAAAGGCTGCAATTTCTTGGATCATCTTGGATCCCCCTTGGGTCGCAACTCCCAGGAGATGAACATGATCATCAAGCTCCTGCCCAAAAAGCGACAAACCTCACTGTTCTCAGCCACCCAAACTCGAAAGGTGGCCGACTTGGCCCGCTTGTCACTGAACAAACCCGTTTTTGTGGAGGTGAAGACAAAGGACAACGTCTCGACAGTGGCTGGCTTGACGCAGGGATATGTGGTTTGCCCGGCGGAAAGCAGGTTTTTGCTCTTGTTCACTTTCTTGAAGAGGAACAAGGACAAGAAAGTCATGGTGTTCATGTCTGCTTGCAATGCAGTCAAGCGTTTTGGCAGCACACTGGGTGGTATGAAGTTTCCATAAGTTTCCCCAAATGGTAGTAGTTTACTATTACTTTTATTGGGTTCACTGTTGAGTTTATACCACGCTGCACCAGTGGTTCTCTTCCATCCATATGAATTGCTGAGGTTCCATGATGAGCTGCTGAACTACATTGATGTTCCGGTGAACTGCATTCATGGCCACAAAAAGCAGCAGGCCAGAACTTCCACGTGCCCTGCTTGCGGAGGTTTCAGATTGCTGCTGTGGTTTCACTGTGAGGTTTCACTGTGAGGGAATGGGGCAGAATGGGGATAATGGGGCTTAAAATCAGCAGCATCCGCATCCTCAGCATCATGGGGTGTTTTCATGCCAAGCTCCCTGCCAAGCTTTCGTCCCTTACCCTTGGGCCTCAAATAGATTCAGGGTTGCCACATGTTGCGGCACATCCTGCCGAGGTATTATCAGTTCTGCAGCGCAGACAAGGGGATTCTCCTTTGCACTGATGTGGCGGCTCGTGGCCTCGACATTCCCAAAGTGGATTGGATTGTGCAGTGACACGGCTGCAGCCATGATAGGTGGCTGATCCCATTATCTCTCAACCATCCAAGGTGGTACAGGATTTCTTCCATCCACAGTCTCATGTATTGCTTTGTCATCTGCAAGATTGGATTGGCATGGGGGAGAGATCCCTGCTGCTGACATTTCGAGGCTGAAGCACCAGACTGATACAGACACCTTAAGTCTTAAACTGATCCAGATGTGTTGCTCCGAAGGTACGATCCGCCGGATGAACCCAAGGAGAGCTTTAAAGCTTGTCACACTTGAAAGGCTGCTACTGCGATCTACTGCGGTTCAAACCACCAAAACCCTGCGAGGAGTACATCCATCGAGTAGGCCGTACAGCCAGAGGTGCCAGCGGAAAAGGAAAAGCATTGCTTTTCTTGATGCCTGAGGAGATGGCTTGTTCAATGGCATGGCATCTGTTTCCAAACCTGATACATGCATGCATATATGTAACCAAATTGTTAGGAACGACGTGCTATTTTGCAGATACATAAATTTCGCCAAAATATCTTTCTGATGCCAGCAAACATCAGCAGACTAGAATATCAATTGACATGTTGCAGGTCATTTATCCAGTCTTTCCACTGGAAGCTGTTGAAGCTCACCGGTCTTTTGACTTCCCTGTAGGAGCTCGGGTTCCTGCACTACTTGCGGCGGGCTGGCGTTCCTGTGTCAGAGTACAGCTTTCCACCCAACAAGATCGTGACTAGCTGGCAGTTTGGGCTGCCAAGAAACTCCACCAGGGATCTTCCAAGAAACTTATCATCAGTGAATGATGTGGAGAACATGGCTAATTAATGCTAATTAAACATGATAAGCAAGTATGATGAAGAAGAAACACATGCGTAATTTCAACATGTTTTAGCCATACATAACATATGACATATAATATATATATATATATATTATAGTATTATATATAATATACATAACATACAATATATAGATATATTATAATATATAATGTATAATATGTAATATAATATATTATATTATATTATATCGCATTACATTACAATATATATATATGTATATATATATATACAACAAACAATTTATCTATTATATACAAACATTAATTAACCACAAAACGTTGCACTGGTGGTGTCTCAGCCAAGGCTAACATCCAGTCGCAGTTGGAGAGCCTTGGGTGCACGGATGTGCACGGTTTGAGGTGGTCGCCATAGAAGGGCATTGGTTGAATGTTGTAACCCCGGTTTTATGATGTTTTATGATTGGTTATGATGCTTATATAGCACTATAATGATGATTATAATTGATGATTGTAATTGATGATTTATGATGTTTATGATATATGATCATGCATGTGAATATAATACTGAATAATTTTGATGATGGATGATGTGTCTTGATGATACTCGATGGTAAAGTTGACGATATTTGATGATTCCCACCCGCTTCTGGAATCGTGAACATTTTGACTTTGAACAGGCAGTTTCAGCCTTATATACTTGGCATATCTTGGCTTCACCTTCATGTTGCCTAGGAGAGTGATCGAGAAGAACTACCACTTGCACCGGAGTTCTAGGGATGCTTATCGATCCTACATGCATGCCTACGCAGCCCACAGCCATAAAGATTGCTTCGACGTTCATAAGCTGGACTTGTCCAAGGTGGCCAAAGCCTTTGGATTTGCACATCCTCCCAAGGTGGAGCTGAACCTGAAACACACCGCCAGAAAGAAAGCCACAGGGACCAAGGGGACCTTAAAGAAGCAGCTTTCTGGACAGTCTTCGGGTCACCAATTTTCCGCAGACAATCCATATGGCCAGCGCGATGCAAATGACAAGCGACAGTTCAGTCGCTGAGTCAGCAGCTAGTGCACCCTTTTTGAGCTTGACCGCCTGGGTGGTTGCCTACACAGAGATCAAGTTAATGCACAGCCGGCAGGCGGTGAAGCTTGAAAGGGGAGTTCCTTTCATGAGCGAACAGAAATGGGAGCCATTTCTGTAAGGACCCACTCTGGAAAATTTGACAGCTACCATGAAACACCGTACCTTTCTTGGTTCCCACCACTTAACATCCACTACACTCAAGTACCGAAGGTTGCACTGGAGCATATCCCTCAGCCTCCAGCGTGACTGACAATTGGCCTAGGTTGGCAAGAATTGAACAGGGAACAGTTCTAACTTAAGTTGTGAACCTTTAAACGGCCTTGCAAACGACAGCATAATTGCGTTGCATGCGTTCATTTTGCTTGCACTTTTGGGACAATCGACTGTTCAACTGTTAGAAGTTGTCCGCATAGGCGATTGAATTGTTATGAGAAGCCAACCGAGAGCCGATGTCGCCCTGCTATCTTCGGCCAGCCCAAGTCCTTTTGCCAAAGGCAAAGATGTGGCGAAAAGACGGGAGCAGCGACCGTTAAAAGAAAGCCGTATGCACTTCACCAAGGGGGGGAAGCGATTGCTTTCAAATCTCCCGCAGAATTGATCTTCGTTGCGTGGATTCAGCACTGTTTCGGATTTGAATCATGGGCGTTTGGACTATCTTCAGACAAGCAACTAGTATAGTACGTTACTATAGAAATGACTGCTTGTTGAATTTGACCTGAAAATGGGGATCGGTATATATATATATGTTATATTAAAACTATATGTCCACCTAGTTTTCTAGCGGTTGCTCGGAAAGACAAGGACCATGCTCGGAGCAATCCCAATTAGGGCCAAAAAAACCTTAGTAATCAGCCAGTCAAGAGTCATAGATGCTCTTTCACCAACTTTTGCGATAATTTGTCGATAAAGAGCCGGATATCCTCCATGTTTTTCGCAGCAACCAATGGGATCAATAGCCAACCCATAGATATCTCTTCCAACATGACACATCCTTGGCAAGATGTCATAAATGCGGTGTATGAATATAAATGATATAAATGTAAAAACCACATGTAATCGATAAAAGTGGGGAAAACATATGAAAAGAACGCCCATATAAGATATGCTGGTTTGAAACAAAACTATGGTTTCCAGCATATGTCCCCTTCAACCAATCCATTTTTCAATGGTTTTTCCAAGGTCCAGATGGAGACGGGACAGCCGGCCGAGACATGGTCGTGGCCTCTGGCTGAGATGCCGGCCGTGTGTTGAACGTTGCTGAAGTTGCGACCTTGGTAGGACCTTTTTTAGTATGCACAACCAAGAACGAACCGCAAAACGGCGGATGTTAGCCAAAAATTCAAGAGTGATCAAGAGTGATTAAAATGATTAAACACTATTAAACACCATGTTGTAAGTATGGCAATGCTTGTGGCGGATCAAATATTGGACACGTGTGTCTTGGTGTCTGGGACCGCCTGAATGGTTGTACGAGGCGACAGCCGAGATAGCTGGCGGAAAAGAGGATCGGCACAGCACCTACTGTATATACCCGGAAAAAAGACATGGGAGTTTCCTAAAAAAGTGATTTGAACCATGTTTTGCTCCTACTCTGTAACATAGTTTGTTGGTATCCATCGGTATCCAATCTCGCTTCCTAGCTGATGCTAGGGCAGGCTGACCCGATGGCGATGAAGACAGACAGAGAGAGTTTCTAAAGATGGGCGAAAAAAAACATCCCATAAAATTGGTGAAAACCACAAATATACAAGATATATACAAGATATCTAAGACAACAAAATGATCCTGGGGTACCCCCTTTTTTTGGGAAACACTCACTTTTCCACCATTTTCCAGGAGATCCTCATGACCGCCATGAAGTTACGAGGACAACGTTGGCTGTGGAGAGGTGGCTGGTGGCTGCTTTTTCTACGCCCAGCGACTCTTTTAATCGTGGTCGTAATTGAATAATATCCATTTATAGCAATTAGTAAATCTATACCTATGTAAATCTGATAAGATGATCATAATTGGCAATCATTGATCATCATAATCTTGACAACTACAACGTCTACACTGGTATGAGAACTGTATTTGTTGCAGTACTTTATCCTGGTATGATAATTGATAAAATGTCGGGGTTATTCCGGGCTCCATCAGGGATGCAGCAGCAAAATTCAATGAACACGGCCTCGCAGACTGCCCATTGCTAGTCAGCTTCACTCTCCTGTTTAAGGCTAGTTTATCCTACTGTCACATTCGGAGAAAGCTGGTTCCTCTGAAGCATGTGCTTTGCATCCTAACTTCTTGCAAGATTCTTGTAGGTTTGTGTCATGTTTGGCTAGGATTCAAGAACGATCCCGAAGCCGATCCGTTGAGGATAGGGTTGGGGGTGCTGTGCCTGTAACCTGGCATCAGGGGGATACAACTAGCTGCTAAGCTGATGAATTTATGACCAGAGATCTGTTGGGTTTGGCGGGGTGACTCAATGGACATGGGGACCCCTGATTATGTATCAAATCCTTTGTGGGGGAATGTGCTGGCCTTCAAGGAGACCACACACACTAGATAAACACACCTTGTCTCACAAGGCACTGTGAAAAGAAACACCGGAAATTTCCCAAAGTCCATCATTCTCCAACAGCAGGGAATTCGTTCAGAAGACCTCAACATTCTTGACCATATGATGTAGAGACAGCCGGACAACCGGATCACCGGTGTTTAGGGACTCCTTTGAACATGTTTCACCAGGCTGGTGGCTATGGCTACGGCTATGGCCAAAGTCGGAAAGGCCAAGCTGCGATCCATCTCCTGGTGCAAGCCATTTCGCCCTGTTGGCGATCAGAAATCATGCTGGAGAGAAAGAAGACATATAAGACATTTACCGTTCGTTTTGGCTTGTTTGCTCAAGCCTGACCCTCAGCAACTACTGTGTGCTCAATTTCTTTGTCCTTTGGCAGTTATGTTCCGTTTCGCAGTGTCTGCCACGCTTTGCCTCCACCTTCTCCCCGGACATGCCATGCGTGCCACAAAGGGGGCAGATGCGAGTGGCAGCTGCGACGCTAAGACCTTCGCAGGTTGGACCAGTCCGCCCAACTATGGGGCATCAATCAGGGATGGTGTGACCCATGGACTTTGTGGCTATGAAGCAGATACCACAGAAGAGAAGTGCAGCACTTATTATGCAGAGGGGCTGCAGGATGAGGGCACCTTCTACCAGTGTCGCTGGCTGTCAGCAACTGGCAAAAGCGGAAAGCAAGTGAACTTATGCGTCACTTGGTCTGCTGAGAACAAGAGATGAACTCATGCAGCTCCAACAAAACGGAAATTGTGGAGATGTTGAAAGCTCGTGAAGACTGCCATGCCATCCTTTGTGGCTATGCGCGAAGTGGCAAATGGAAAGGCTCCACACAATCTAGCCACTTCGTGGGTGCCTGGACACCGTGGCCGACGCATGCCCTGGACCACAACACGTGGGGTTGGAGCACAGTCATCGAGAAGGAGTGCAGTTTGCCATCGGACAGCCTACACGGCCATGGCCATGCCGTGTGGGCGGACAGCTTGGGCCACTGGAAGGAGAATTACGGGCAGTATTTCAACAAGTCGACTTGTGGATGCATGAGCGAGGATAAATGTTGAGATGAGCCGGGCTCATTAAGCCTTTTGCATCTTTTTGGGCCAATTTGTGGAGGAAAAAGCCACTGCGCTGGCGCTGCCCTTTGGGCCGATTTGTGGAGAAAAAATCTGCTGCCCTTTCAAAGACTTGAGGGGGGTTTAGATGCATGCAAGATTTATATAAGTGGGAGCCTGATTTCATGCCATGTAATTAACCCTATTCAACCACAGGATCGTGTAGAGGATTTTTAGGGAAAAAAAACATGTGTATAGTGCGCTGAGGGTGGTTTAGCCATGGCTATGCGTCCAGGCCTCCATCCTGGACGAGAGGCGGCGGCTTGGTCGGGGGTGACGGGTTTCCGGCCTCGGGTGGCAGATGGACGACTTTTTTTGGAGCATTTTTTGAGACCACAATTCTCAGGCATGATTTGTCAAGTCAGAAGTTGACAGATGATTTGCAGATATTTGCATGAGTTTTCAATCGTTTTCCGTGTTGACTATTGTTGACTCTTCGACACTGCCCCATGAAGTTCCACCCCAGCATTTATTTGGTGGTCCATTGTGGTCCATGGTGGTCCCATGTTCTACAGGAGATCCCACCAGCGAAAGCACCAAAGGCAAAGCCAGGCCATGTGATCGAAGAAGTGTCGGACGATGCAGGGATTTGCAGGGCATGTTCTGCAGAAGGCACATTTTCGGGCTTATCCAATAATTAGGGTACCCCCAAATATCCCCAAATCTACCTGGTCACTCATCATTGTCATTTTCCTTTATTATTAGGCCAACATTTGGGGCATATCGGTATGCCAATGGTATACCGTTATATCATTGTAGACCCCATGGTTGTTCCAGGGTGAGGTCAAACACCCTTAGGACATCTTAGGACTGTTGACGCGAAGACAAAACGCATGCAACGGGTCAGGTGCAAAGAAGGTGGCGCGAAAACGTGGCTTGGCGGTTGATTTTTCTGCGCTTCACTTGGGGTGACAAGGAATTGCACCATCTTGTGCCTCTCATAAGGTCTGAAAGCAATTCCAAAACCGTTTATTGTATATAGGAAAATTATGGAATCTACGGAGCAAAAGTGCGTAAACTGCGGTAATTGTTTTGGCACCAAAATGTTGGCCCAGAATCACTGCCGAGGCAGACCAGTGCGAGAGCCAAAGCCTCAGCTGTGCTGTGCCACTTATCCATGGGATGTCTCAACATTTGGCAAAAACACCAAAAAAAGCCATCAGGATCCTGGTATCATTTGGTATCCCACTGCTTCATGTGTTCTGATTTCGCAACATTCATCGGCGACCGATCCTGGCATCCCGGCATCCCCATTGAGACAAACGATGACAAACGCCATATCCCCGGAGTCCTGCCATGGTCGACCCACTATGAGCATCTATGAGCGCTGAGGGGTGGCGAGCAACCCAAGACTATTCACGATCCGTATCAGCTCATTGATCCCAACGAGCAGGTGGATCACAAGGCTCTTGGAATGGCTGATGGCTGTGACGATTTTTTTAGGATTTGCATTTTTTGGAATATTTTGGAGCAACCAGGAAGATGGAGACATGCCTGTCCGATCCTTGTGGATCAAGGTTCATTTCATTGAACGCTCGACAAGCACGAGCAATTCAGGCACATTGAAATACAGTACACAGACATATTATGAGAGATTGTAGAAGCAGCATTGACCTGAAAAAAACCGGCTTCTTTATTCCCCACAAGTATGGCCCCACGTGGCGGAAGGCTTTTTCTATGCAGCAAGGGTCCCCCTTTTTGCCAGTTTTTCGATCATGGCCGAAGGGTCCGAAGGCTGATTCTATCATGGATGGATTCGATGCATCCCTGGGAAGCTTCCAGGTCCTGCTGCAGGTCTTTGCTGCGTCCATCCAGCAGCTGGAGCACCCAGGATCCTGGAATTCCAGACGGCCATGCCTGGAAGCTGTGCTAGGCTGGTGGTGGTGCCTGTCTTTGGAACTACAATGAGGCGTATAGATCCGAATAGATGTAGAATGGAGATGTAGATAGCAGAACTAAACTGGGCGCAATGACGCCTAGAAGTGCTTAACTAGTGTGGGAATGTGAATGTAAGGTGACACCGGGAAGTGCTTGTCACACGAAAACAGGTTCGCCTTTCGGATTCTTCAACCGTTGTAATCGTGAAGGTGAAGGCAAAGAGTGTAAGTGCTTACGTATTTGGTTGTCCAGAGATGGGATGCTGTACCCCAAAATTGCAATTTGAATGGGAACAAATCGCGGATAACCGATTTTAGTACCCTAATTTTCAGACCAAGCCAGCTGCTAAAAAAACAGGTGGTGTCCAGGAGGAAACAGAGCCGGCGGAATGGGATGAGAAACGACCCAGCTGTGCTCGAGATTCGGGGTGGATTCCCAGTGGTCGTGAGTGCCCATGGCGATTCAATGCAGTCATGCTCTTCACCACTTCCGTGGAAGCACCTTGGCCATGGCAGTTCTACATCGTTGAATCGTTGAATGTTGGTAAAGCAATAATCAACCATCTGTATTTTGAGGGTTTATACCATTTATATCCATTTATACCATCCACTTATAGTAAAATATGTAAAATTGGAGGTGGTTTACCATTGCTATCCATTGCTTTACCAACGTTAATTACTCCTTTGGGAACTACATGCAGTGCTGTGATCGTTGGCACACAGGCAATATAATAATGTGATCATCAAACGAAGACAAAGACCTGAACATTTCCCAGCAGGAGCTGCAAAGCGAGTCGGGCTTGAGCTTCCGCCTGCGAGTTCAAAACGACATTTCGCTGGGTATCGTCAAGGTGCAACTTCCCACCGACATCGTTGGGGAGGCCACGGCTGACCTGCTGCGGCACGTGCTCCCAGTTTGCAGCCCAGTGCAAGTGCAAGACTGGTTCCGCTGGGCCAGTGCTGTGCAGATGGTGTCTTTGAAAGGGTCGGATGGCACGGAGGTTGGTCAAGTGGCTGTGTCCTTCGCGGTGGATGCTGATCCCAGGGAGCTGATGTCATCTGCCAGCAGTGGTGCACGGCCACGTGCGCAGCGAAAGTCCATCACTGCGCCGCGGAGCTGGTGGTTGGACTGGCATTGCTGCACTTCCGCGAGCGGACGACGCATTTGTTCAGAGGAATGCGATGAGGAGCAGAAGGATCGAAAGGACAGGCTGTCAGTTGCACAGTCAGATTTTTAGTCTGAATCCAGCAGGTCATGTTCGGCAATATGTGCCCATGGCAAGACCAAGTTTTAATGCCAATGAGCCAATGAGACACAAAAATGATCAAACATGCATGCCAATGATTAGCGGGTTTCTGTGGGTATTGATAGTTGGCGGGAAGGGATCATTGGGAAATCAATACCCTTTTCTGATCATTAATACCCATCCATGATCATCCATGTGCTATATATATATATATATTATAATATGATATAATATAATATAATTAACATTCTCCATTGAACATGGGGCTTTCCGCATACCCGTGGAGGACGCATCCATGTCACTCCCCGCCACTTTGATCCAACGTTTGGATCCGCCCTCGCTGCCACCTCCAGAGCAAGCGCCTGAGGGGTGGATTTCACGGAGGGGCCCAGGGGGCCGTGTGTTTTGGCACCACAAGGCACTGGGCCCAGCACCATGGGAGCAACAGGTTCCGTCAAGTTTGACCAGCAACAGAGCCTTCTTCAGGTCCATCATGGGGAAGGTGGCAGATTTGTCAGATGAGAATCCTTTGAGTTCAGAGATCTTCTGAGCTGACAAGGAATGAGATGGAATGGTTTGCCTTGAGCCCGAAGTGAGGAAAGGATTTCTTGGGGCCTCACGGGCCAGAGTTCCACTTGCACCTGCAGTGGATGTTAATGTCAATTGGATGACACCTTTTACACATCCACCACTTAGATATTGAATTCGTCTTGTGCATGAAATTTTGCCAAGGCATGATGTAGGTTACAAACAACCTACAGCCAGACGTGCCAAGATGCCAATGGAGCTACTGAAAAATGACAAGAACGATGATATACTTTACTCACAGGGTCATCATCAGTTTTAAGATTATGTTGGGATATTTGGGATCGATCTTTAGATCGTCATATGTAGATGTGCTGCACCTTGTGACTGCTCTGTTTTGTCTCAGTTGGCTGTTGCAGGTGATTCTCCCAGATGAACGGAAGGAACCTGAGGAAGAGCCTCCTCAGGCACGCGAAAGTGAAGCGCCCGACCTGGTCGATGGACGTTTCTGTTCAAGAACTATGCTACAACAAATTATTAGAAAGCAATATTTGCATATACCTGTAAATCACTAAATCACTGACATGTTTTAACATATATCAGCATGTGGTCATATATGCCATTTATTGCCATTTTATCAAAACGTGGCTGAATTGCCAATTTTTGGGATGGTCATCGGCCCATTCATTCAATTGAAGCCCATTATTATATTATGCATAATAATCCCATAGAATTCCCATAATGGGATGGATGACCATACCACATGAAGGAGCGACTTGGGCCCAAACGACGTGGCCGTGCTGGAAGTCGCGACATGGTATCGCATGGCCTGGTTTGGTGCGGTTTCCGCGGATCCTTGAGGCTACCTATTGACTCAGATTTGAAGGTGATACTTTGAAGTAAAAGATATATGCGTGGCTTTTCCGTATTTAAGTGCGCACATTTGAATGTGAGCAACTTTGGACCAAGTGTGTTCTCTTGAAGCATTGGTGATCAATCCTCAGTGACTGCCTTAGTAGACTCGCACTTAGCAACAATTGCGGCAAACTATGCAATTTTGATCAATTTTGATTGCAGGTCATCGTCCAATAGATTCAAATAGCCAAATTTCAATGGGATGCCAGGTGGGGCGCAGCCCCAGCCGCAGCTGCAGCCTTTACAGCTACTATAGCTATGGAAGTTGCGGCCTGAAATCTCCGCATGGCTTTCTGGTTTCTTGCTGCTCCAAAGTATCTCCCTTAGGATTTTTTGGAACCAAAGAGAATAACAAGAGCAGCAGGACAAGAATGAAGTACATGTAAACGACCTGAGATCACGATCATCAGTACAATGATTTCTGAAACAACTTCTTCTTCTTCTTCTTCTTCCTTTTCTTCTCCTTTTTCAGTTCTTCTTATTTATGTCAATGTCTCTTTCTTTTCCTGGTGTTTCATCACAATAACAAAGTAAGCCAGTTTTAATATGTTTTAATCATCGGCAGTGGCGTAGTGCCTAGATGGGGGCATCATATAACCCGCTTCAGCTTCAAAGCAACGCAAAGAATTCCTCTTTGATATTCATAAAAACATTCGCCAATATCCCCAACTTGAAATTTGAGATTACTTAGCTACTGAAAGACTGGGGTTGCCAGGGGTACACGAACGGAAGAAACGCATTCTACCCACTAAGATTCATGGACCTTGGTGCACTTCGCACAATTCACACGCACAGGGAAGTGCTATGCGCACATGCATGGGCATACTGTGCGTTGTACTATGGTGTGTGGGTCCTTCATTGTGCAATGTGTAGAAACGCGCTCACATATACACACACAAGACCGCTGAGCCCTTGTTCCAGCCAGCCACTTTTTGTTTCTGCATGAGGCTATTCGTTCTCTTCTGGCTGGTCCACTCCCAGCAGGATGCGCAGGAATTCCAGAAGCCCATCACCAGGGACCCCAGGATGGCAAAGTCACCCTGGCCATCGTGCCCGGGGCTTGAAGAATGAGAAGCGACTGACAACCCTGGCCTTTCAAGAATGAACATATGGGAGGGTGAAGTAGCCAAGTAGCCAGATGGCCATATTTGTCTATTATATTTTGATTGTTTACTCTTTTGTTGCCTTTTTCTGCAATTACATGGCTATGTTTGATAATAGTGAATACTACTTCTCATTTGAAGCTATTTGTGTCCTATATATGAATAATATATATATATATATGATTATATGATATATGTTTTGGGAAAATGATGAATAATGATGATCAAATCAATTGGTTTTCAGTCAGATTAAGGTATCCATTGCTACCATCAGGAAGTGGCACCCGGCCCGCCACCAGCGGGACCACCGCCGGGGAGCTGGTCACAGCCGGCGGAGGTGCCATTTGGGGATGCGGGATGGGTAGATAATTAATGATAAATCTATATACCCCATATATACCCCAATTAATATGGCTATATATGGCTATATATAATTATATATATATAATTATATTTGGGGAGGATGATGATAATGATAAAGAATGTTGATGAAACACCAGAAATTGGTCAAAGCCAAGCAGTGAGCGGAGGCGCCTCCGCCAGCTGGAAGCTGTCGCCTCAGGGATGACCTTAAATTTCGCCAGCTTCTCCCATGTTTGATCCATATTGAAATAACAAACAGATAGCTAATGATAGCATATGATAGCATATATAGTCTAATAAATTCTAATAATACCAGTCTGTATTAATGTCTGTATATAGTTATATGATATGAACTTGGTGACCTTTTTGGATCAGATGGGGTCAGATGGGGTCAGCTGATGCTGGAACCTGCCCTTCGGAATCCCTTCGGATCCTTCGGCCCAGGCGAAGCTTTGGCGTTGCTACCTGTGTCTGCTACAGGCCAGTGGTGTGAAGCCTTCATTCATTGGGTTGGTTTAAGGGAAAATCTACAGGAAACCATGTTTTTTCCATCAAATATAGGGCTTTCCTGTAAATTTTCCCATCATCCAATTCTATGATTCATGTCCCTGAGCCATCCTTGTGTCATTTTGGATAATTATTTTGGGGTCGCACCTGGAACTTTAGAGCATTTTTAGAGCTCCCGGATTTCCTGCAACTTCATGATTTTGCAATGTTCCCATGCATTCCTCAGAGATTTTTTGACACGGTTCTGATCCAGTTGTTGTGGACATATATATATATAATTATATATATAATTATAATATATATATACATATATTTATACATATACATATGCACACACACACACGTGTATGCCCTCCGGGGCGGACGTTCGCCCAAAGTTACATTGGGGAGTTCAGTTACGCTGTGGTTTCTTCAGGATTAATTTACGATTGTTTTGAAGTTTGCTTGGGGATGGTTTAGATTTTCTTTGGGGTTTGTTTAGGGTTTATTTAGGGTTTGTTTTGATTTAGGGTTGGTTTAAGGTTTGTTTAGGGTTATTTAGGATTGATTTAGGGTTTGTTTAGGGTTTATTTAGGGTTTGGTTGGTTAATTTTCCTGCTATTTAGGGTTACTTTTTGTTGATTTAGGGTTGGTTTAAGGTTTGTTTAGGGTTATTTAGGATTGATTTAGGGTTGGTTTAGGGTTTGTTTAGGGTTTATTTGGGGATTATTTAGGGTTTGGTTATTTGGGTGTTCTTTCAAAATCTTGCGATTTGTTGAGGTTTCAGTTGACGGCTCGAAACACCGCAAATATCCGCAAATTTTGGAGGATATCTTCAAGATACGCTTCAAAAGGTGATTTTGGCACCGTCTTAGGCAAGCGCAAAAAATGGCATGAGACGCAGGTAATATCAATATGTCGCACGGAAACAACACAGCAGATTGCAGTCCTGCATGGAATTCTGTAGATTTCGGGCAAACCTCAGCCCCCTAGAGATATATATATATATAATAGTATTATATAGTTAGTTATATATTTTAATCAGACCATATATCATTGACTTGTACATCCGTTGGCGCGGCCCAGGGCCACAGCCGCAGTACTCGCTGCATCTAGGTGCGGGTTTTTCGGTTAAATAACATGAAGGGTATAGGTCGTTTATAGACGACAATGGCCTACCTCTTCTACGTTTTTTCGTTGGTCAGCGGCCACCCAAATCCAAAGCTGACGCCGTTTCAGTGAAGGTCCCCCTCAGCCGCAGAGCGCAGCTGCATGGGACTGCTATTGGGCTGGGCAGAAGTGTCACACCAGTATTCCACCAGTGTACCTAATTAAAGACGTGAAAAATCACTGGTAAGATCTGATTGACAGATCCTCTGTTTGTGGTCAGTCCCTGTTCATATTATGAACAGCCAAATTGACGGATCTCGACAAATTCAACTAAACCTGTTCCAATCACAGATCCACATGCTTGAGGACTACAGAGGACATCCTTCCCACTACCCTCCACCTCCGGTGCTTGGCTCAGCCTTTGCCAGTCTGTTGCGGTGCCTTTTTTCACGTGAGCCGGTCACATGTCCAAGCCTGCATGCAGGGGCACATGCAGCCACCCCCGCACTTCTATGGTGGCGCGGGGCTGAGGAGGCTTCAACAACAGGAAAGGACTGTTCTCCTTTCAAAACACCCATGGAAATCCTGAATCTTCGAGAGCAGAATCATCTTCGAGGGAATTGTCTTCCACTTCCGTTCATTTTGGTTCCAGGCTTTAATGTGACTTGTGGTGCAAGCAAGGTGCATTCCCGGCCGCACGTGCCGGGCGCCTAGGGCGCCAATGGGCCTGGTGCATCACTCAGAGTGCCAGCTGTGATCCTGCTGAGGTTCACTACCAAAGTCCTGGTTATCCTGGAGGGCCACCACCACCAGGGTGCCCTTGTTGGAAGATGTTGGAAGTACTTTGATTGCCCAGGATCATTGAGTTATGACCGTTATCATCACGTCGAAGACGCTTTCGGACAAGCAAAGTTTTTTTTTTGTTGGCACCCGGCTTCATATAGTCGTTCAAAGTTTTCTGTTTTGCATGCTCATCCAATTTGGCTTTGGTTGGAAGGGCGAGACAAAGTCTGACACCTCCTGTAGTGTGTGAAAGTTGTATTGGAGAGTTGCCCGACTATGTGCAAAAGCTCTTTGCTTGAAGTGCCATGAGTGAAAATAACATTCGCATGGTGGGCGCACGCCATGCGAGCTACAGTTCAAGACCGAACCAGGACGGACAATTCAGATTGCTTTCAATAGCACTTTGCCAAACCATCACAACACCTGCAAATTCGCTTGGCATTTGACAAGTTACAAAGTTGACGAAGCATCACGAAGCATGACGAAGCCCAACCCAATTTCCAACGATTCTTTCA